AAATAGACTTTCATCATAATCAGATGCTCTCACTAAACTTTCCTAAAACCAACACGTGAAGCAGTGTCAGTGAGGCAGTTAATTCTAAATAAGATCAGCACTCAAAATAAAATATCAAAGTTCTCCTTTCTAAAGCCTTCAGTTTCTGAATACTGTCCATTGCTATAGCTCCATTAATCTTTCTCACTGTGTATTCATTAAATAACAGCAGAGTAAATCAAAATACTAATTTAACTCAGTGTGTACACCAGAGTATTTGTTACACTGCATTTTACTGAACATCCCATGAATCTACTCATAAAAACAACACACAGTAAGCCACCAATGGCATAACAACGAACTTAAATAAAAAGCAAAAATTAACACATACATTTAGAATCTGGCTCTTCTCACCTAAAAGCTATTATAAATGAAATGAATCGATTAACTTCCAAAAACTCTAGATCCCCTATATAAATAAGGCCCATAACTGATCAATTCAGAGGCTTCTTTTTAAAGTTTTTAAGTTTCATCATTGGGGGTATCAGAGAAAAAAGCAAAGTTATTCATAAGAATAAAGTTCTTAAAATTATTATTGCTTAGCTCACAAATAAAATAAGGTGCTTCCACTCTCAAGCGATAGAGGAAAAAACAAGTTCTTTGGAGGCAGGGATGAATCTGCATCTGAACATGCCATGTGACCAATCACGAATTTGATGAGACTCTTGGAAAAATACACTGGCAGCACTTGAGGAGCTGGCCAGCTCTTTAGATAAGAGGGAAACAGACCGTGGTCTCAACATGTGCTCCTCTTGATTTCAGAACCAAATTCAGCAACCCCTCCTAGCCACTGAGATACTACAGTTATAAAATCAGATCACCAGGATTAAATTGGATTGGACATTCAGAAAACAATATACGTAAGCCCTATCACTCACATCACAAATTATAGACCATATATTTTTAAATCACAATCTCTGGATGTGCATCTCAAAATACCTGCAGAGAATTCAAGAATCCTGTGACTTTTTAGCCAACACTTCTGACAGACTTAACTCTGAAGCTTTCTTAGCAAAAGTAGGAAGGAAACCAAATAACACTGTCTTTGGTGTTTGGTGGGAGAGCACACCATCTCCCATAATATGAATTTGTTTAAAATTAAGACCGTAAAAACTGAAGAATGAGATGGAAGTCTAGCTCTGCAATTTCAAAAAATGTTAAACTCAAGCTGCACCAAGAAAAACATCACACTGGTGAACTTTAAATGTAGGGCACAAACCTGACAAAAATGAATAACAGGAAAAAATATATAGGTCATACCTCAACAAATGCCACAACCATTTTTTTTCAGAGGAGACAGGTATCATTTAAAATCATTTGTTAATTTCGGGGTGACCTTGGTGGCTCAGTTGGTTAAGTATCCGGTTCCTAATTTCTGCTCAGGTCATGACATCAAGGTTGTGAGATCAAGGGCCTGCATGGGGCTCTGCGTTCAGTGCAGAGTGGACTAAAGATTCTCTCTCTCCATCTGCCCCTACTGTCTCTCTCTCTCTAAAATAAATAAAATCTTCCAAAAAAATTAAAATAATAAAAAATAAAATCATGTGTTAATTTATATATTAGCTTTAAAGTGTTGTTTTGTTGTTGTTGTTTTGGTCACAGGGAGAGAGAAAGCGAGAGAGCACGCGCACATGGGAGCACGTAAGCAGGGAAAATCAGAGGCAGCGGGAGAAGCAGGTCCCTGCTGAGCAACAAGCCCAATGAGGGACTCGATCCCAGGATCCTGGGATAATGACCTGTGCCAAAGACAGACATTTAACTGACTGAGCCACCTAGGTGTCCCACCTTAGCAGTGTTTTGTAAAGAAAAAAGAAAGGGGATAAGATGAAAGCACTTTTAAATAAGCAAAGAGGAAAATGTGTGTATTACTTTGCTAATATATAAATTATATCATGTTATTTTATATTTTATATTGAGGATAAGCCTGGTTTAAAACAGGTTTGTTCAACATATCTACTCCTTGAAAACAACAAATATGATTTGAGTGTTTAACGGACTTTAAGGAAATGTTGACCTTGGACTAACCACCAGGAAAGAGAAGAGATGCATAAAGCAAGCAGAGACTGACCTAAAAGATGGGTCTATTGGCTTAGTGTATTTCTTTTTCTTTTTTCTTTTCTTTTTTTAGAGAGAGAGAGACAGCACAAGCACACAAGCAGGGGGAGCTTGCCAGCTGAGTAGGGAGTGCAATGACGGGCTCAATCCCAGGACCCCGAGATTACTACCCAAACTGAAGCCACATGCTTAACCAACTGAGCTACCCAGATGCCCCTAGCTTTGTCTATTTCTGTTAGCTTAGTCGATCTGCTGACAGCCAGAATTTCCAAGCATTAAACTCATTGACTGGTAGAGCTCTTAGCTCTGAGTAGAATGGAAGCCCTAAGTAGTTTTCTTACTCCACCATCAGCCATCATCTACTACTAAGGGCTACACATATCAATGGGACACTGAGGACCTAAGTCCTTTAACAAACACCAGCTAAAGAAAACTGAACTAGCTGGCCATACCAATGAGTCTCTAAAAAAAATTCAAAACAAAACAAAAAAGTCCATCAAGTTCCTTCCACATATGGAACTTTTCCCCACACTTCAAATTACTGATATATGTCACATTTTTAAGGTAAAAGACCTAAAAACAGTCAGGAAGAACATATATGGAACTGCATGGCCAAAGACATACAAATGGGAAAGCAGGAGTTATTACTGAACAGTTCTTTTTGGCTGAAAAATACAAGTAATAAGAAGAATAAAGGTAGAAAGGTAGATTGGGGACTTATCTATAAAATATTTGGTATATTGGGATGCCTGGGTGGCTCAGTGGGTTAAGCTGCTGCCTTCAGCTCAGGTCATGATCCCAGGGTCCTGGGATCAAGTCCCACATCCAGCTCCTTGCTCAGCCGGAGTCTGCTTCTCCCTCTGCCTCTGCCTGTCACTCTGCCTGCTTGTGCTCTCTCTCTCTCTGACAAATAAAAATATTTTTTTAAAAATATTTGGTATATTTGTAATAAAACACTAGTATAAATGTTGGGAGAATTTAGGCAAGGACTAAAAATTAAAAACATTTCTTTCCAAGCCTGAATCCAACTGTATAAGAAAAAAAGTGTAGTTTTGTTACTAGAAGAAAGAGAAATCAGAAGGTTAGCAGACTGAGCTTGGGTTTGCCAGTGAGTTCACTTTTAATAGTGGCAAAGATAACCCTACTTCAGTTTCCCCCAGAGATACGAATAACTCCCGTGTTTACCTTAATTATAACCTTCGTGGAGAAAGCACTCTGAATTAGCACCTTGATTCCAAGGCTATCTGATGTTCGGTTATAAGCATTTTTTTATGTCATTTATTGAATGCTGTGTGCCAGATATCCTGTGACCTACTCTACATGGATTATATTAATAACACCCCAAAAAACTATTCACAAAACCAAAAATTACACAGCTGGCAAAGAACTTCTGATGTTTCCAACTTAGGGAAATGAAGAGTATATCAAGTTTCCATGAAAAGTAAGGGGGGATATGTATATCAACTGCTTGATTAAAAACATAAACCAGGGACGCCTGGGTGGCTCAGACCCTTAAGCGTCTGTCTTCATCTCAGGTCATGATCCCGAGGTCCTGGGACCATCCAGCCCCACAGAGGGCTCCCTGCTCAGCGGGGAGCCTGTTTCTCCCCCTGCCTGCTCTCCTCCTGGTTGTGCTCTCTCTCTCTCTCTCTCTCTCTCTCAAATAAATCAATAAAATCTTTTAAAAAATAAATAAATAAAAGCATAAATGAACTAAAATCTTTGCCAGGACTGAGAATACAGAAAACAGCAGTGAGCAACAGCATATACAGTGCATCCTCAAGAGAGCATAAATCCTCTGTAATAATATCCAAGACACAAGACATAACCATTTCTTGCAATTTTCCCCTAAAAACAGAAAGAACAAAATAGCAGCTGTGAAATCACCCAGACTACTAAAAACAGGGCTCGGCACCTCTTAAAACAAAACAAAACAAAACAAAACAAAACAAAACACCTATCTCCTAATCAGCAGTACGTGCCAAAAAACGCCAAGTCCCCACAGACAAGGCATTCATGGTAGGGCACAGAGGCACAACAGGATGACAGTGACTATCATGTGGCCAGAAACCAATCCGTCAGCAATTTGTCTGTTGCACGTGAGATCACTTTCTCTCCGGAGGACGCGCGTTCCTGGGGCAGATGGACCAGGTGTGGCAAGCCCCCGCCCGGAACAATCGCCGGGTGGTGCCTCTCGGAGCGCGGTGCCTCTCGGAGTGCGAGCCCACATCCAGCCTCCCCACAGGTAGAAGCAGCCCAGCAAGCAGGAGGAAATATTTCCAAGCCGACAGATGCAGGAACTGAAAAAGGAGGTCACGATGCTGAGAGAATAGATTTAACCCTTTGGTCCCTGGGAACCGCGAAGACTAGAGGGGAGCGCGGCAGAGCCCTCGGGGTCGGGGGATTCTTTCAGCGGGGCGGCCGTTTGGGGCGGGAAGGCCTCCCTGTCCTTCCAGGGCTCCCTCCAGCCCTCAGATGGTGCCAGACTTCTGCAGACAGCCCAGCCACCTCGTCAGGAAGAAACTGCTCTGCGGCTGCCCCCAACACCTTCACCGCCCGGAACCCGCAATCCTCCTCCATTCGGTTTCCTTCCAAGGTTCCTGCCGGTGGACAGTGATGCGCGGACCTCGTCAACAACAGACCCCAAGCTCAACTTTGCAACGCTCCCCCGCCGCCAGCCCCCGCCTCCTTCTGCTCAGGCCGGCCACGTCCCGGCTGCAGCCCCTCAGCCTCCGGCGCGCAGAGGCCCGGGAGCCAGCGCCCCCGGCCCGGGGCCTGCGAGGGGCTGCAGACAAAGAGGCTGCGGCGCCGCCGTGGCCGCCAGGACCGTCCCCTCGGGGACAGCTCCGCGCCACCACCAACCCCAACCCCAACCCCGCTCGCGCGCCGCAGCCGCCTCGTCTCACCGGTGGCCCCGGGGCCCGGGCTCCTGAGCCCGCCGCTGCAGCCGCCCGACGAACAATGGCAGGAGAAGGCGCCGGCGCCGAGATTCGGGCCCTCTGCGGCTCGCGGGCCCGCCGGCTGCTGGTGGACTGACTGACTGACTAACCCACCCGCGGAGGGAGGGAGGGAGGGAGCGAGCGACGGAGCGAGTGAGCAAGCGAGCAGGCGGCCCCGGTGCGCGCCCTCCCGCCTTCGCTCTGTGAGGCGAGGCCGCCCGGCCCGCAGCCAGCCAGCCTGCGCGCGCCCCTCCCCCTCCGTTCGCCACAACATTGTAGTAAATTTCTATTGGACGGCGCCTGAGGGAGGGAGGGGGCCGGGCTCGCGGCCCGCCAGCCCATTGGCTGAGGACAAGTTCTGGGCTTCTCTAGTTTCCCCCTCCTCTAGGCGGGTAAGGGCCGGGAAGGAGAAGGAAAAAGAGGGGAAAAGGCAAGGGGCTGGCCGCATATGCGCAAGCGCAAGTCGAACTTGCTCGGGAGTCCCGGGGTTCCGGGCCCCTGCAGTACCCACGTGGGGAATGAGGCAGCTAGTGCCCGGAACCGAGGTGAGGCCCTTTCCACCCAGAGGACGCCCAGGTAGGAGGCTGAGATTTGAAAGCCTCAAGGAAAGCCGAGGCTTCTGCCAGCTGACTGCCCACTAATGCACTTCATGACCTTGGGTAAGCCACTCAGCTTCTCTGGGCCTCAGTTTCCCCATCTACTAACTTGATGGTCTCTAGGTGCCATTCACACCCTGACATTCGTGGAGGCCTTACCTCTCCTGGCAATTGTGTAAGGGCCGAAAGCTGAATGTTATGGCCACGCCAAGATTTCACCTGTCTTTTGCATTTAAGGACCTTCCAGTTCCACCTTGGCACCCTCAAAATCATAAAGGCCTAGCTTCCAAGATCTGCGTCCCAGCTGAATTTAGGGTCGCTCTGACAGTTGCCTGATGTGCCTTTATTTCCTTTCAGAAGTTTCAGAGGCCCCTTGACCCTTCGTACTCCCTACCAGGCTGGACTCTGAAAAGGCTGGGACCCCACACAGCAGAATGAAGGCTCATGTTTTAAGCACTGTCCCTATAAGGTAAGAAAGGTTCTGATATTCCCATTCTAGAGATGAAGACACTGAGGCAGAGAGGTTTAGACCTGCCAGGATAAGAAGCCAGGCCATCTGACATCAGAACCTGCCTATGCGAGCTTCACTGTCTCCTGGTATCTGATCACAGCCCCCTCCCATCCACAGCTCAGCCTCTAGAAACAGACACCTGGGGTTCAGCTCCCAGCCTCCAGCCCTCCCTCACTGTTTGGACTTCTCTGTGTCTGTTTCTAACCCCATAAAAGGGGATAATGATAGTTCTACCTCCTAAGAGTTATTATAAGAATTAAATCAGTTAAGATACGTAAAAGGTCTTAGAACAGTGCCTAGTTCATAGCGAGAGCTACATAAGTGTTCATTATTACTGCTATTCAGAGACTAAAATATGGACTGAGAGGTGTGGAGCAGGCTGACCTAATAATATGTTTGTTAAGCTCTCAATTGTTGTCAGCACTGAGCTGAGCACATTGCATGAATTATCTGTTTGAAACATCCTAAGCAAACCACTTGAGGACTACCTAACTACCCTGTCTAAAACAGCCTCCACCCACATACCCTTGCCCTGCCTTTTTTTTTTTTAAGATCTTATTGTTAAGTAATCTCTGCACCCAATATGGGGCTCGAACTCACAACCTCAAGACCAAGAGTCACATGCTCTACCAATTTAGCCAGCCAAGCACCAACCCCCTTTTATTTTGAGATTTTATTTTTACCTTGCCCTGCTTTAATTTGCTTCATAGTCCTCACTTCTACCTGACATTCTATATATTTATTTATTGCTCCTCTCAATACATTGTTGCATTTTAGATCCACTAAATGACAAGCTCCGAGAGGACAGGGATTTTGCCCCTCTTATTCATCTTCCAAAACAGTGCAGCATTGGTGGTATAGTGGTGAGCATAGCTGCCTTCCATCTTCCAGAACAGTGCATACTCAATAAATGTTTGTTGGGCAAATGAACAAATTATCCCCATTTTACATATAAGGAAGCTGAAGCTTAGTAAGGTCAGGTCAGGGTCATTCTATATACTTGACATGAAGCACCTACTCTTGAATATTCTGGTTCCCTGCCTCAGGTTTTCCGATTAAGCCATACATTTGATTCAGGGAGCTCCATCCTACCGTGTCTGTGCCTCACAGGCTTCCTCCATATCAGACCTGGAAATCTGGTACCATGAAGGATAAATCCTGAAGATCAGTCACTGCCCTGACCACTTTGTTATCCAGCAAATTTAGATTCATAAAAACCAATAGTCTCTATCCCATGAAGTGCAGCCAAAGACACATCATATTTAAAAAGCCTTGCTTGGGGGCGCCTGGGTGGCTCAGTGGGTTAAAGCCTCTGCCTTTGGCTCAGGTCATGATCCCAGGGTCCTGGGATCGAGCCCCGCATCGGGCTCTCTGCTCAGCAGGGAGCCTGCTTCTCCCTCTCTCTCTGCCTGCCTCTCTGCCTACTTGTAATCTGTGTCTGTCAAATAAATAAATAAAATCTTTAAAAATAAATTAATTAATTAATTAATTAATTAAAAATTAAAAATTAAAAAAAAAAAAGCCTTGCTTGCGGGGCACCTGGGTGGCTCAGTGGGTTAACCCTCTGCCTTCGGCTCAGGTCATGATCTCAGGGTCCTGGGATCAGGCCCTGCATCGGGCTCTCTGCTCAGCAGGGAGCCTGCTTCTCCCTCTCTCTCTGCCTGCCTCTCTGCCTACTT